CATTACAATAACTCATACTTCAAAGAAAATAAAACCAAGATCTTAAAACCTTGATACCACTGAATCAATTTTCTTTAAACAAAGAAAATAACCACTACTTCATATGGGACTATAAAAACAATATAATTAAATATGCAGAAACAAAAGATATGTCGGAGATTACCTGAACCAGACTTATTACACCCCACACCGAGTCACCACCATCCGATGGTCCGAGATCAACGATCAACCCTCAACGTCAACAGGAAAAGCTAGTTTAGGCAAAGCCCTCCAATGGAACTATGAACTCCTCTTGATCACAAGACTTATACTTAGGTTCAAACCCATAAGACCTAGTCTAAGATAGCATCCTCTTAATACTACCCAACCTTTAGGTTCATCAAAGCAAGATGAGAGAGATAGAACACCATCTAGGTGGGGCGTGCCCCTGAGGTCAACCTAGAGAGAGAGAGAGAGAGAGAGAGAGAAAGTTCAAGAGGTGGGGTGTGCCCCTCACAATAGACTAGAGAGAGAGAGTCTTCTAGGGTTTGTGCGTGCCTCCTATTGCTACCAAAAAGAGAAATATTTGAGAAAGAGAGAGACGAAAAATATTGGTGTAGAGATTTTATGGGTAGAGGTCCTTTTTTTATAAAACAAGAATAGGATTAGGGTTTCTTAGGATTTTACACGGCTTACCTCTTTTGTGAGATTGAACATGAACCATTGATCTTGGGTGACTTGTGGGGTGATAGATTTGAGCCCTCCATTCCATAAATGGGCCATCAACATTAAGGAATGTACTAAAACCATTATCCCATTTTTCTAAAATACCAAAATAATGCACGGCAACTTGCCCTTCAAGTTAACACCTTTCCAAAAATCCGTTCAAAGCTTCCTCAAGTTAACACCTTTCCAAAGCACAACAACTTGCCCTTCAAGTCAAAGTTGCTTATCACAAAAAAATAGAAATAAGAAAGCTTCTAAATGGGTGGGGCGTGCCACCCATGAGAGGATCTCATGGCCCCACCATCTAGGCCATGGTGGGCCCATATACACAATGGGCCCCCATGCAATTTTAAATATTTTAAAACTCATTAAAATAATTTTAGAATTTTATTTGAATATTTAAATCAATGTAAAATCAACATCTTTGTTTTTAGAAATCCAAATTTGATAAATAAAATATTTAGAGATATAGAAAAATTCAAATAATAATTCTAAAATAATATATTTAGAATTTTATTTGAATATTTAAAGCAATGTAAAATCAACATCTCTATTTTTATAAATCCAAATTTGATAAATAAAATATCCAGAGATATAGAAAAAATTCAAATAATAATTCAAAAATAATATATGTTATAAAACAAACACAATTAAATTCATGAGATGGGAAAATGATCCATATGGTGTAGGAATTAAATCAATAAACACTAGGGCACTCCATCTTCAACTGTGGACTACATATCACTCTTGCTTTATCAAACCGACACAGTGTTTTTCATGACCCCCAATCCATGCAAGAGCTCATTAGTGGGTCACCAAAGTCTAGCCGATGAGCCAAGGGGTCGTAATCCCAGCTTGTAGATTCAGGTTCTCCCCTAGAGACATTCTAAGGTCACGTAGACCTGATACGACTACAACTCCTATGGTGCATCAAGGTATCTCTCGCACATGCATAAACTTCACCCTGAAACGTGGTTCGCTTTTTCGAAATGGCTATCATTATACATGCCGTGTGATGGTATATGGATGAGGCTTTGACCCCTGTCGCTAATGGCCACCATCACACACAAAGATCACACAGTCCCTCGGCTCACTCATCCGGGCATAATTCGACCTCATCAAGGGATGACCTATTAGAACCCTTATCGGATAGTTTTCTATGTCTAGGTAACATAGGTTTTTCCCAACCAACTAGTCTAGCTTGTCAAGCTCAATCCGGTATCAGCAAACATTGTTTGCTTAGTATAATCCACGAGGGACCACACTCCCACTGAGTTCAGTATATCAAAATGTTTTATTACAAGCATTCATAAGGCCTTTAATGGCTACACTCACCAAATAGTTGGAATGGTGAGCAGGTGATTTTTTTTATATCAAGGTAGAAACTATTAAATAAGGTGATATCCAAAATCATCAGCACAAAAAAATCCCCTATTAAAAGAGATTGAGATGGTCAATGCTTTCTAAATTAGAGGAAATCCTTTGCAAGTTTCACTCCCACAAGGAACAAGAGAGAGAAATTACATGTACCTAGTTTGGTCACCTTCTAGGAAAGGTGGGCTTCCCCTAAAGCGGGAGGCCAGAGCTTCACTCGAGAGAAGTGAGCTTCTTATATAGGGGAAGGCCGAGATTTTGGGTGGTACTCTCTTTTTACTGAGAGTTACATTTATTCTCAATATTCTCTTCATAGAAAGCGGTTTATTTGTAAAATAAAGATGGGAGATCAAGAAGTAATACTTGTTGTAAGAATTAGTCTAAAGGGGTTGTTCAACTAGTTTTTATCATGGGTTAGAGTTAATTGTGTCCCAAAAATCTGTGATGTAAATTTCATCAATGTAGTATAGATTTCAATTGCTGTAAATGTTTGTGTTCTTGTGTTGTGCTTCTGTACTTTATTTCCCATACTAGTATTATGGTTTATACCTGTCTATGTTGTCTCTAGCATATTAAATACACTATCCTAATGAAATCCCAATATTAGATGATCTAGTCTATAGTTCTTTGAGCCCTGTAAGTTTAGAAATTAAATGTGACTTGTAGGGATAAGAGTTCCTTTGAAATGGAACGATTATGGAATGGTTCTTCTTTTGAATTGCTTATGCTTGTTCTTAGACTAAGGGCAGGTTAACATGGTATTGGTGTTGACTAGATTGAGTCATCTGGAAGACTTTATTTGAGCATACTCTCTCTCTCTCTCTCAGTTAAAGCATTATAAATATTGGTGTGATACATTTTTAATACACAAGTTTCTCCATCAAATAAATTTTGGTTTGATACATCGTTAATACAAAATGTTGCCCTGTGACCATCTCTTTCAGGCTCACCCACCAGGGGCTATCAATGTGCAAATTTATAGACTAATAAAAGAGTGGACGGCATGGGATATTGCTAGGCGTGCTGCGTTTGCATTCTTTGGGATATTCTCTGGTACAGAAGAAAATCCTGATTTTATTCAAGGTAAAACGCGATCTAAAGTTACATTGCTTGGTAGAGAATGGAGCTGGGTTGTGGTGGTAGTACCACCTGAGCGCCAGTTGAAAGTCATGGCCTACATTCTCACTAATACTTTCAAAAAAATTGATTCTTTCCAAAACGGGTAGGGGCCTGTAATCCCACTGTTATGCGAAAAAAAAACATTGCTTGGTATGGACATGTCGTCCCATTGGTTTTCAAGTGTTTAAGAGTAACTGGATGATGGTGCCGTGTCCCTCGCAGATGTGGAGTCGAAATTGGATAAAAGTGCAAAAATTATAGTGGCATGTCAATTTGGTGGAACCATGAGGCCTTCTCAAAATCTTCCAGAAGGCCAACAATCAAGGTTAGCTCATTGTTACCTCTTCCATCTCTATGCATTCTATCAAAATCTGGTTCTTTCATTTGTTTACACATTTTTTTATTATAATATTTTTGATATAAGTGCAAAGCTATGTGAAATCAGTTACTGATAGTCAGTGTCAACTTCGGCTGTAAAGAATTTGTCATAAGTGTCTCTCTCTCTCTCTCTCATCATTGAAGATGACAAGGTGGGATTAAGCTGTTTCCTTTTGCAGGTCTCTCATAGCTGCTTACTTGTTGGTCCTGAATGGATATGCCAATGTATTTCACCTTGATGGTGGACTCTATACATGGTTTAAGGAGGCCCTACCCGTGGCCAGTGAAGAATAAAATTCTTTTTATTTCCTTATAAAATTTTGCCACTTTTTGAGTGTAGATTGTGTCCTAACCTTCACCAACCTACTGTACAGTAACTTTTTCATGAGTTGTGGACCAAAAAACTGCAGATTTTTTTATATTAGATGACGGCTATTTCTGTAACGCAACTATACCTTCATTGGCACCTTGGCATAATCCATGAAACATAGACAAGTGTGTCTTGGGGTTTGACCATGTATCTACACTTAGTGGATCCGACGCATGTGTTGACACTGACACTTCTAATAAGTGTCCACTACGATGTCTTTTTTTAGACATTTCTTTTTTTGAAAGTGAATTTTTTTTAGAAACTTCATTCTTCATTGAAAAGCATTTTATTTAAAAGTAACAAGTGTTTGAAAATACTATATATAGTTTAGAATAAAAATAAAGAATATTTTTATTTGTTGAAGTAGTCTTTCCATAAGTCATATTTACTATAAGTTTCTCCCTCTCCAAGTTTCTCATTCCTCAATTAGTTTCTCACTTTGTAAGCTATGGATCATAAGTTTCTCCCACTCCAAGCCTTATGGACTATCTTGCTCGCAAGGAGGAAAGATGATCATAAATCAAATCCATATAAGTATTGGGATGTGGATCAACGAAAACATAGATGGATCTACAAAAATTGACATTAGAACATGGTGTTTGATGAACTAATCTTATAAAAAGATGAATATTTGAATCTTAGAAAAGAATGAATATTTGAGGGTGCGAGTGGGATGATAGTGTGATTTTGGATGAATGCATTAGAACTCTTTTCAATAACCACACAATAAAGGTGTTACATTTTGAATGAATAATTAATTAATACTTGGTAGCTTTTTTTTATATTGTTATGATGCAACTTTGGATTAGTCTGTGAGAAATTTTGATGAATAAAATTTAAATTCACATAGTAACTTTTTTGGACTATTAATTAAATTATATTTATTTTTTGGATGCTTTCCAATTATTGTAAGATATGAATTATTGTGTGTAAATGCATACGGAAACTACATATAGATTTTAATATGTATATATATAGACGTACGAATTTATGTACATACATATTGTACAAATATGTCATGCTTAGATATCAGGAGTTCATGTTTGTCTGTATTATAAATGGACATATATGTTCCTGTCCATGCAACACGGCATCATTGAGATTTTAACCTCATTAACTAAAGGAAATCTACAAAACAAGTATATGCAAACATCCAAGTGGCATAACATGCCCACTCTCACTTCCCTTAGAATATAATTTACAATCACTTATTTCCAATTTGAGGAGTAAAAAATGGATGCTCTTTGGATGTTAAAATAGAGAGCAAAGATCCATTCCCTCTTTCTCTGACCTTGTTAGGCTCTCTTCATTAACTTAATGAAAGCTTATCGTTTCAAAGAAAAAATAGAAAACAAAGATCCGTAATCTTATTGAGATATTATGGAGAAGTTTTTTGAGGCACACATTTTTACTAACAATCAAAATCAATGTTGTCATATTTGCTTATGAGCTTTTTTTTGGTTTGGTAATTTCGTGCTTTAGCCGATTTGAGGGTAGATTTTGGACTTTTTATAAATTTAATATAAATAAAGTATATATTTATGTGTAAAAATGTATTACAACAATAACAAAACTTGAAATAAAAAATAAAAAAAATGTGTTCTGTGAGAGGAAAGCTAGCAACATATTCCCCCTTTTCTACGGATTCATTCTTAGGGCCCCATTCTCTCTCTCTCAATTCTCTATATCTAAGACGACCAATTTTCACCTAGGTTTTATGCGGATTCTAGGGTTTGATTCTTTCTTGAAATGCATTTGTTTTTAAAGATATGGTGTGGTATCCTATCTGGATATATTTAGGAGTTGATTTTTTCGCCTCTCATCTCCTTTGTCAAAAGAGGGCCTTCTTCTCGAGGTTTTCTGCACTTTTCGGGGTTGCTTTTGTTTCATCACATGTTCTCTCAAAGAGACTTTTTTTTGTTTTTTGATCGAGGAATTTTGTCTTTCTAGTTTTTTCTTGATTGAGATTTGGGGTGGAAATGGTTTATTCATGGGGAGTAGACTAACCCGCTAGGTGGAGGAATCCACTTTTTAGGCGCCTGTTTTCTTCTGATGTTTGTTTTGTTTATCCACCTAGACTCGCCATAGTTTGTTTCTCATTTCTGTCCAACATATAAAGGTATACATTTCTTTTTATTTCAATCTTTGCACACTAACTCTTTTATCCACAGTATATATTGTTTCTCTCTTCCCACATGCTCCATAACATTGCCAGCAGTACCAATTTCCGAAGGATAAGGCCTACTTTCGGAATTGGAGGACTGAACCATTGTATAAAGAGTGCCTCAATGGATGCAGAACAATCCAGCTAAGGTCAAACAAATATGGTGTTAAACGACCATATTTCTTGGCTAGCAGGAGAATGTAGAGAGAGATGATACACAATTTCGTCATCATTCCTGCACGACCATTGACTCTACTCCTTATGGTGAACCATCAGGCCCTTCATTTAATGTAATGAGCCAAGGAAAAGGTTCAGAGTCCTTGGGATGGACAACACTTTGTGAGCAGTGAGGTTATCTTCCACGGATAAGGTCATTGTGCACCAGAACTTAACAGAGTATTTACGTATACTATCAGGACTTACTCTTAGATGGTGAGTTGATAGCAGACAAGTGCATCAACAATAGACACCATCACACCAATCCAAGACCCCAGGTCATTGTCCTTGAATTGGATGAATAAAGGCTTGGGACCACGTGGATTGGGACATTCTCGATCAAGCACTGTATGGCTTCAAGAGCGGCCTTGGATCAGGAGGTGTATCTCGTACATGTGGTTCTCGGTGCTTGTCCAGCGATTACCTAAGGCCTTTTGTCACCTTGAGAAGCCTTTGGAAAGAAGAGCCCACGTCTCCATTCTTGTTTGCCATCATAGCCAAGGTCTTCAGTAAATTCATCTCGAAGTTGCTTGATAAAAAACTACTCAGAGGCTTTAAACCGTCCTGGAGGGGTCCTTGTCTCTCACAATATGCAGACAATATGATGGTTTTCTACGATGCCAACACCCAATAAATGTACAAAATTTAGTTTTATCTAAGATGGTCTGATGTCTCAATGGGGTTCAAGATCAATATGGAAAAAACTGAAGTACTCTGGGTCATAGTTCAATCTTGGTGCTGGCCAAAACGTTGGGGTGTGGAATCAACTCTTTACCCAACAAACACTTAGGTCTTTTCCCTGTGCATTGGCAGCCCCCATAAGTCCAATGGGATTCGATAGTGGAGCATTTTGAACAGTATCTTGCTGCTTGGAAAGGAAGCGTTCTGCCTCTAGAGGCAGAATCACACTACTCAAAGCATCTCTAATATCCCCCATTTTATCATATGTCAGTTCACAATGTCATCCATCATCCATGGTTGCCAACCACCTTGAGCATTTGTGCAGTGGGCAAACGTAAGTCCCACCTATTACAGATGAATGTCTTTTGTCAACCCCGGAGGAAGTGAGGATTTCGACATTAGAGAACTAAAGGAGTACAACAGAGTATCCCTTGGTAAACAGTTGAGGAAGTTGTCAAAACATAAAACATAATTATGGGCTTGCTCATAGGAGGCTTTGCTTATAGGAGGCTTTGCCAATGGATCAGCCCATAATCGCCCAAATCTCCCATATAGGTAGGTGGCAATACCACTGCGAAATCTTTGCTGTCCCAAAAAGGTTGGGATCACAATTCCTAATATTTAGGGATATAGACTCCTAACATATGCATTGCATGGAAAGGGATCCCAACCACAGGGATCTTCTACTCATTTAACGATCTCCAATTCCTAATCCCGGTCCTACTCCGGTCCCAACAGCTATGGACCAACCTCTAGGGTTTGGGAAAGGGCTAGTTTCATCATGTGCAGCATTCATTTCTAACATTTGTTTTATGGCTAAAACTGGGGAAGAAATCCAGCTATAGGAGGACCTTTGGATAGAGGACATTCCCCAGTAATTCCACCCAAATCTATTCTTGTTGACGAATATCCAAGACATCATCTTGGCTCATTCAAAAAAGTCATTGGAGGACAACTGGTTTTATCCCAACCTATCAGATCCAGAGATCCTGGAGCTCGTATCCTTGTTGGACTTCTTATGGACTCATAATATCCCCAGAACAGGATTTTACAAAATGGTCTTGATCCCTGGCTCCTCAGGTTTTTATTCAGTTGCAGCCTTCAACCTTACCATCAAAAAACCAAACCAAGTAAACAAACCCCAGAACTTAGTCTCTAAGGCCTGGTTCTTCTCGGTCCCACCAAAAGTTCAGGATTTCAATGGGTTGGTCCTGCTCGTGTGACTCCACATAGTCTGCCAAGCCAACTTTGGTGAAGAGGATCCACATGGCTAAGCATTGTATGTTATATATGGAGTCGTCGTCCAAAGATTATCTTTACATTCATCGTTCTTCCTCTGCGTACATTTGGGTCCTCTGCGTACATTTGGGCCTCCTTGTTGAGGAAGTTTGGCTGGTTGAGGATCTGGCCTAACAGTCCAGCAATTATTCATGGGTTTCTTTAACCACCCCCACCCCCCTCCCCCTTCCCCTTCCCCTTCCCCTTCCCCTTCCCCTCATCCATTTTGATCCTATGGCAGACCATGCTGTTAGCTATGTCTTGGAGCATTTGGCTGGAATAATAATCTCAGGTGGATGGGGTAGAGGATCACCTCATGGCTGTTGTCATTTTTTGGGCCAGGAACCAGAAAGAGTTTAGCAGTTGAATGTGGGTCAATGTTACATGATAACTTTAATATTGTCACTAGGTCGTGGCCAATACGTGTTAACACTTAAGACATATGTTGATAATTCACAACACGGCCCCAACACATTGACAATACATGTCGGATGACATCATCATATTTTATGCATACTAAGATGCCTTGAGTGTGGTGCATTTTTTGATCAGTTAAATCCAAATAACTGTGGTAGAGTAGACTCGCTCCAAATCCTACTACATGCTCTCTTTATTATGAAAATTTTTTGCATATACTTTTATGTACACTATGTAAAAATGTTATTTTATATAAAAGAACAAAACATTACCCCTTGGCACCAGGCCAGCTCTAACTCAGGACATCTTGCTAGGGAACATTGAAACCTACCACTTCGGCAGAAAAAACCTCGTCATAAAGACTACTCCATAGTCAACTATTTTTCAAAAAAATCCACCACCATGCCAACTTACATTGCTAGACTTTTATGCTATAGTTGCATTGATCAATTCCCAATAACATGCCATTTTAGCCAAAACTGGATGGCTATCCTTTTAAACTAGGGCCAAAATCGATTCAAACGTCCAGCTCGGGGTCCCTTCAGAGCTCAGTATCTTCATGCTAAACTTCAACATATGCTCCTTCAAGAATAGTAGGCGGTTTCCAGATTGGAAGCAATTTTTTTGGGAAAAATAATTTTGAAGTTTGGTAACCCTATTTTAGTTGCTAGCTTATTTTTTCTTTGCCACGAACGCCTACTTCTCCAGGCATTTTACTAAGCTGAAGCATCATGTGGTCTTCTCCAGATTTTGAGACTTTGCCGGCTCTTTGGATTCCCCTGTTCCTACCGCTTCCCACCCTAACCTAGCCCTCATTTTTTTGCTTCTAGCCTCTCTCCTTAGTCTGCTCTTTTAGAATAGAATGAAAGTCTGCACTCAGCAGGACTGAAGCTTCCATTGCCTTTATCCTCGTCTCTATAACAGTTAAGAAGAACCCAATGTTCTTTTTTGGGTAATTCAGTGGGGAAGACAGGCCCCAACCCATTTTTTCAAGTAGATTAGAGATTAGCTTTTTTGAAGTTGTTAGTGTGGTGGTGTTATTGATGGAAATGGAAACCACTTGATGGGAATGGAAACCACAACGTGGTGACTAGTTACGAAGAACCTAATGTTGTCTGCAAATAGTGACATTTTTACGGGTGGTCCGATCACGCAGTACTTCAATCTGTGGTACTATGATCTGGAATCTTACTGCATCAAGGCTTTCTGTGGCTATAGTTTTCCAGTCAAGCTTCATCAGCTTACCACAAGGCTCCAGTTGAGCTTGATTAGCTAATCACAACCCTGGTACGTTTGCAGAACACCTTGTAAGTCCATGCATTAAGGGGAACCTTGTGATGTTTTAACCTTCTCATTCTTCTTGGATGAAAAGGTGCACAATCTTTTATTCTCAAAAAAAAACAAAAAGAAAGAGATGTACAATCCTTGGAGTTCTAGTAATGAATCCCGAAACCTCCACGATGTCTTAAATATTTTCCAAGCTTTATTCTACAAATGTAATATGAATAGATCATCCCATTTTAAGTTTTTGCAAACTACAGGTGACATTTCCTTTTGTTCCCATTGCTCCAGGCCTGAGAGATCTTATGATGCTCACATGTTTTGGGATTGCAGGTAGCAAACATGTTTTGGCATTGTTTCAGAGGTGTTTTGGATATTGGAGGATGTGGTTGAGTCAGTCGATTCGGATCACTTTTAAAAGTTAACTATGTATAGAATGACAAACTTTGAATAGCCTGTAAGTGGGATAAAAACAGAATGCCAATTTTCATCCCACTTGCAAAACTTGGTATGGTTTCCACCAGTACCCCAATATGTTGGAATCCAAAGTGGCCCTTCACATTATGAGGGGAGCTTTAAAGAAAATAAAAGCTATAGAAGAGCTAAATTCCTAAAAGTTTGACAACATGGTAAATTCCTAAAAGTCTGTCAACATGGTTTCTATTTAGAGGTTTTCACTCTAAGTTTTCAGCAACACACAAACATGGACTTCATCATTACCCTTCAATAAATAAATAAAAACATGTTTCCATGCAGCTGTGATAGCATGGTGTGCACAGTCCCATAAAATTGGATAGCGCAAGATGCGCTGATAATATACTGTCTAATAGAAACAGATTGCGTGAATGACAGCAGCCACATGCAACTGCAACTGCACCAAAACTCCAGCCATAAATAAATAAACAATACATGTGGTTATCAAAGTGCAGACATAATTCTGGTTATATTGGCCAAGAAACTTTGTTTATTGTAGTATAGTCATACAAAAAAGGCACGTGAAAGTCATTTTTGCCCAAAATTTGACTTGAAGTTGAGCAAAAAGCACTGTCAGACCATCAAAAGTTAAAAAGCAATTTTATCTTTTATAACCAAATAATAATGAAAATGCTGAAGTACTTACATAAACAGAACTGTCGCAACTAAGGGTAAGATAACTAATCAGTGCAGAAAAAATATAAAAGGAAAGGAAATAGAACCCCCATTACTTTCCTAGAAGCAATCCAACGACATCCTGATAAAGCCTCGAAGGAGATGGCCTTTAGAATAACAACAATTTGTCCCGTTTGTGATGAAAAACCAAGGTCATCACATTGGAGCTGTAATCATACAATAAATGCCATCAAAATTGAAGAGCCTCAGTTAATTTGCTGAATCCATTAAACCCAAGTCACTTTTTTAAGGGTCATAATCTCAAGGCAGCTTTTGCCATGGCAAGAGCACCTTCGTAAGTGTCATTGCCCCCAATGAAACCACTCATGTGCACAAAGACACAGCCAGAAATACCAGATTCATTGGAGAGTTCAGAATCTCTAAGACCTCTCCAAGAGGAAGGAAGAGGCCTCCGGCTCTCAAATCTATCAGGAGCTATTGCAACTGCCTGGACTCTCCATTTCTTGCTTCTCTCGTCCTTCAGTTTTAAGAATAAGTTAAATAAGAATCAACAAAGATATGAATATGATTACACCTACCATCCATTTTTCCAGGTCTCTCTCTCCCTCCCCCAAAAACAAAACACACACACAAAAAAAGAAAAGAAAACAGTCCCTCCCTCCCTCTCTCCACACACACAAAAAAAGAAAAGAGAGACAGCAGGGATCGAAAATATCAAATGTGATAACTAAGAAAAGATTTGTATATGTAGCTTACATATCATAACAAGGAATTGCCAAATTCTGTTTCTTTCTTTTCAATGACAAATGCCAACAAATTTTCCTTCTTTTTTTTTTTTTACATTGGCTGCCAACACATTTTCTAGAAAGCCAACATTTTTTTTTCTAGGTAACATAAGTGATGCATTAATAACTTATTTCAAAGTGCGAAATCGAATTTTAAATGCTTGATTCTCTATCATGCAACAGCAAATATAGAGGACATACTTAGTATTCTGGTGCATCCATTTTTCACTGAATATTGGAGAGAAGTAAAGAACAAATGTTTCTAGTTTCAGGGGAGAGATAGGATTACCTCATATAGAACATATTTGATGGGAGGCTCAATCTTCATTTCCTCCTCGAGTTCAAATAAATGAAGCTTCCACTTCAGAAAAAAAGGGGAAAATGTTAGCCCCCTTCCTGATAATTATGCAAAGGGTCTGTGTTTGCATAAGGTTGCAACCTTAAACAATCAAAGTAAGGTGCACCCTCAATTTTGGTGTCAAATATTCTTAGAATGGAATGAGAATCTAGAATGGAATGAGAAACTGTTTTTATCTCTAATTATAAAATTATAAACTTCAAAAATAGTGCAAATCAAGCAGATCTAGAAATGTATGAAAATCTTGAAAATGGACGGTCCAAATTATATATTACAAGATGTACTAGTCTTAGGACTTGAAATCTCTTTTTTCTCTATATATAAACATCTCAATGTGGAGATGATCAATTAGATGTTTTTTCAACATCAAAACAACATTTCTCCAAAGATTTTAGAGGTGCACCTTAATTCTACATTTTATGGTGTAAACCTTATATAACTTTTTTCTTATGTAAATGATACTTGGAAGTAACAGTCCTCCGAACCACAGAAATATTATTGAGTATGAGATTCCATAAGATCGACAACTTTCCAAACACATAGTAGATAATATAAATTAAATACACCTAAATTAAGTGTCAGGGTTGCTTTCAAGATTTGTGACAAGCAAAAAGTGATCCAAAATAGTCACAAAAAATATAGATGAAAAGGACTAATACTGGTTTTGGACTGTGAGTGCAAATCTGTCAAATTGGGGGATGCACATCTGAAATAACTCCGTTGTGTAAAATTACTAGATTTCAAACAACACATATATGACAAGGAAATGGGAAGCCTAAATTCATTACCTGATACGATGCGACCATTTTTAAACTACAAGATAACTAGAGATGGTAAATCATGAATGCTACAAGAAATATGTCACTGTTTCTTTTTACATATGCTTGCAAGAGATATTCATAAAACAAACAAAAATTCTATCACAGGAAATAAAGTTGGAATCAACACAGTTGGATGAAGAAGATTTCTATTACGAAAAAAAGGGTTACTCAACTTACAGGGCAGAATTTCTTCAAGACCATAATTTCTCCACTGGAATCAATCTCATGCCTTGCTGCTAAGCAATCCATAACAATAGATCGTGCAGGCAGCCAAGACCTAGCATGGAACCGAACATTCTGGAAAGAAAAAAGCATTCTAATTTAGGTCACACACTTATAACTCATTCCACTCCAAACTGTAAATCTATAACAATTATATGGGTTTATATAATTTAAAAACTTTAATATATGTTTTATACAATGCTTCTACAATCAAACAAGTCACCATGAGAATGTAACAGGGAATAACTCTGTTGTGCAAGTAAAAGTTTCACAAGGAAAACTTACCTCCATTAATTCACCACCGGCAAGTTCCATTGCATGTTGAAAGGCTTCATTTTCCTTCTGAGACGATTGATCCGGATCTGTCCAATCCAGATTTAAACGGCCAACTCGTGAAGACAAGTGTGTGTTGTTTACATATTTTGGTGGCTGATCTGTGTCATATTGATTAATTCCATTGTCGATGGCATCAATTGCCTGAACGAAGCACACACGAATAAATAACAATCAAGATGAAAGTCATAAAGTGGCCTCAAAACAATTCCATCACATGCCTTCTGCTTTGAGAAGTTGACAGTGAGTTCTGCAAAGAACTCATACATGTCAATCAACACAGTAACTTCTCATTGGAAGAAATTATATAGCTGGAGGTTATGCACAAGATGATAGAAGTAACAAAAGAAATCAAACCAAAGAGTTTCAGCCAAGTACCATCTTATCATGTGTCATGGAGTTATTACATGAAAAACCAGGGAACAGGAGACATCTTTATAAGGAATACCTATACAAATCGAGTGATGAATGGATTAAACAATAAACCCAAAAAAAGAAAAGAAAAGAAACCTCACGGTTCAAAATTTGCATTGGTTTATAAATTATTCTTGGGATTTAATCGAGGTTTCCATCTTTATATGAAAGATCTTTTGAAGTCAAGATCATAGTTTTGGGTTCCAACCAAGGGGTCAATTCCACTCCATAATCTCGCTCCTCAGCGATTTTTAAACTTTGAATTTCGATCTTTCCTATCAGGGATCGAGATCCTAAGTTACAGGGATTGAGATTCCCTAGAATTATAGTATATAGCAATTTAGTATAGTATAGACGTGTGGTATATAGTACTATAGTATAATCTAGCTGTGTGGTTTAGAATATAATACTGTCTATCATCGTCATCATTTGAGCCTTATGGCCTAGAGGGCTATCTCGGGAAGCGTTGCCTCTTAGTTTGAAGCTTTGCCAAGAAGCTTCTACATGTTGAAGCCAGCGAGCGAAGTACGTAAGCACTGAGCAAGCCATCTGGAGGGATTAGGAGCATCTCGCGTATTAACCTGGATGAGTTGACTGAGCAGACAGTAAGTGCTTTCGGCCACTGGACTCTCGCCATCTAGGGTGCAGTACTCAATCGCTTCGCCTAGCAGCACGACGCTTGTCATGGGAGAGGTGCGCCAGCGGCGAGCAAAAGCATGGTTATTAGATACCAAAGGAAACCCCGGCCAAGACCACACATGCAAGTTTCCCTGCATGTGGCTCGTCCGTGATAACTTCTTCGGAATTGCGTGAACTAGCGGTCCGTTCACAAAGTGGGATATCAACACGAGTAGCTCCATGTCCAGATTTGTACCTTCGTGATCGCCAACATCAGTAGCTTTTTGAACTATTAGGGTCAGCTCATTTTACACTTGCATATAACAAATTTAAATACAATAGCATATAGTATAGTAATACAATATAGTATATGGCAAAGTATTGTCAGCATAGCAGCATAATATTGTAAAGCAGTGTAGCATAGTGTAGTAGTGCTCTCAAGGGCCTTGATTTTAACCAAGTGGAGTTCGATCATGTATAATACACCAGTCGATCCGGATTAAGTTTACATCGAGCTCCTGCACTTGGGATCAAGATCCCCAGATTTCGGGATGCATAGACTGTGATCCCTACCATAGGGTGCTTCCTATTTGTCACGATCCCGCTACCCAATCCTGATCCCAGATTAATTCCATCGCAATCCCGGTACCTAGGTCATGATGAGCACGTTCTACTTGGCTAGGTTTATCAAAACATTCATTATTAGTTCCGTATACACTTGGTTCTCCAACCGCTCTGCAATCATCTCATTGATTTTATCTAAATTTATTCGGCTTCCTTGACTTAGAGATAAGTTTTGATTAAATCAACATATTTGTCCAAGGAAAATGGAAGGGAATGATCATAAATCAAAAGATCAGTCTTTCACTATAGGTCATAATTTTGTATGGAAGGCACTTGCACAACAAGAGTCAAAATCGTGAGGTTGATTCAAGACAATTTATATCTCGACAGGACAAGATAATGGACATATCTTCCGTGCATGTTTCTTGAAGTTGCATGCATGACAGTAAGGGAGTTGACTCCAAAACATGCCACGAAGATTGATATTTGATTCCATCCCACCCATTTTTCCCTTTGCACCTCCAAGAGAAAAATTAAAAGAATTCCCTTCCAGGCTATTGGTCAACATTTCTCTAGTGAAGTCCAATAACTTCATCAGATCATCAACAAATCATTGCCTCCAAACTTTATTTACGATCTCTAGCTAGCATTCAAGAACAGCATTGTAACATAAATAAAATCTTTTTCTCCAAAAAACAGACATCAATATAGCATGAAGTTGTAATTACCAAATCAACAATATCCTACAACTAGAAACTTGCCAAATCCATCTCTCCCATGAGTAACTTTCTTATCATCCACCTTCCCCTCCCAACTGCATGCTAATTAACCTATAGTGCCTCCGACTCTTCTAACTACAACCGTACGCATAATGCACAGAACAAAGGTGTTCTGCTCTATGGCATGGTATTAACAAGCACAGCATCTCCATAAACTTGTAACAGTGGGTCATCAAGAAGGCCAGCAGAGTACAGTAGAATGATCACCATTATAAATCCTTTCCAGCTGCATCCAGCAACTTAATGCATAGGAAGTGTACTGATTATCCGATAAATAATATATAGCCCCCTCGGATCTTTAGTTCATTTTATTTTCAACATAAAAGAAACTGAAATCAAGGATGAGGAGTACAGTAAATTACACAGCTCTCCAAGCCCCTTTCTTTATAATAACCAATGCTTAAAACACATACTTTCCCATTTTTGTTTTTAAAAAAAAATTACTCTAGAGGTATAACACCATTTGACTAAAGTATCAACTATCATAAATCAGTTACCTTCACAAAATTTAGAAAAGAAAAGAACTAGCTACCTCCATAAAGCTTTTATATATAGCCAAAAACAGCCGTTGTACATCAGGGTGTCCCTCCTCCAGCTGAAGCTCCTTTGCAATAATCTCCATTCCATAATGCTGGGGAAGGAACATATGAGATACATGAAAACCAATTTATATGAGATAGAAATGACAAAACATCAATATTAATAAACAGTAATAAGAGGGCTTATCACAGAAAAAGAAATTCCTTGAAGACCAATAACTTTATCTACATATGGTTTTGAATTTTGATGGGGACAGTGTCTGGATTGGGTGTTTAATGGAAACTGTTTGTCCATTTTCTGAGGTATATCCATCCTCTTTTGACTTGGATGGGAATAACATATCTTTCAGAGACAATAAAGAGGATGAGAGTACCATGTAAAGCATCAAGAGGACAGTATGAAGATGGAGGAAAATGGAGATCTTCCAAGCTTTGTTGTTAGAAACTTGTGTCAAGGTGCAATACCTATTCCCACTGTGAAGATCCTTATGTGATTCATAGACAAATAATAGTGGAAACCTCTCTTTTCCCCTATATTCTCACACTCACTCTCAAAATTCAGAGCAATGGTAGAGAAGTATAACAAGGATTAGAATGGAATCGCCTCTGATCTGAAGTGTAGATGACTCCACAATATAATAATTTATAAGCATAGTTTCAAAAAGTGCTAGGCGGTTCCTAGGTGGCCTGGGGTGTCCAGGCCGCCCAACGCCTAGGCGGGCACCCAAGCGGGGGGGCCAAGAACCTGGGCGGCCCAGTTGAATCCAAAAAGGATTCTACAATTATATATTGTATAAAACATAAGAATTAGGTATTTAAGGCACATCAGAATTAAAAGTATAATACACATTAGTACACACTCCTTAAGCATAACCATAAGTCGGTCCATAATCCATATCCAATTAAAACTTAAAATTTAGCATTCATAGTTCAATCAAAGTTCAAAGTTTAATAATTATTCAACATTCATCATCAGAAAAATTAGCGTCAGCTGCATTGGCATCATATTCATCGGAGTCGTCACCCTCCCCAACATATTGGTTGTCCTCCTCTGTCTTTGCTGAATCTGCCTCTTCTTCCTCCTCCACCCTCATTCTTTGTGCAGAAGATCTAGTGGCCCTAGGAGGGTCAGTTGATGTCCCTGAAGCATCCATGATCATGTCCCATGTCAATCATTCATGCCCCTCGACCTCATCATCATCAACTAACCACTCCATAGCATTGTCCATATTTTTTGATTTGCTCTTATCTCTCTTAGCAAGCATGTCCTTCAAGAATCGATTATACTTGACATAAACTAGGTCACTGAGTCTCTTTTATTCAAGTCTGTTCCTTCTCTTTGTATGAATCTAACAAAATCAAATGAAACTAATTAAAATCTATGGTTCATGTATTATTAATGCAATTATACAAATTACCCTTATGGCCTTACCCTTTCAAAAATACTCCAGTTGCGCTCACAACCGGATGAGAAAGTGGTTAGGTTTAAGATCCGAATGGCCAACTTTTGTAAATTTCGAGAACTACCACCATGTCGGCTCCACCAATTGGCTGCAAAGATATAGAATAAAATCATAAATAAACAATAGAATTATAAAAATGAAACTTGATTACTTGAACTTAATGAACCTAAGAATATTATTACTACCTAGATCAATTTTGGTCATTTGCCTCATTCGCCA